GAATATTACACCTCTAAAGATTGTTTCACTATGGAAAGGGTGTGTACAGCAGGGTGGCCGACGGGGTGGCCAAAGATTTGTCTGTGGTGGCCCTGGCCACCCCCTGGCTCCGCCCCTGCTTTGGCCTCGGCTAGCTGACGACATCGTGTGGTGCTGTGTAAACTCAAGTCACAGTTCCTCCAAACGTCCCCCGCAAACCTAACAGATCTGATGGCTGACATTTGGGCTACAARTTTTCCCACACAACACCTGCTGTAGTCCCAAYTTCTACCCAGCTGCTCATCCTAAACACTGTGGAAAAACAGAGCCAGGAGGGTCAAAAGGAGTGCGGATTAGATTTAAACGTGTGACTTGTTGGAGGTGTGTTTGCATGCATTTGTTTAATGGGTGTTCTTTACTTCCTTTGCTAATTATTGACTTCTAGTTGCACTTACCATGCACTGTATTTTATACACTGAAAATCCAAACCAGAGAACTGTTTGTTGAATTTAACGASCATTGTTTTGCTGATTATAAGACTTTGCAACTCTGTGCCTTGATTTTCAATTTTCACTGTATTTCGAAYAGCTAGATGATTTGTTACACACACTAGAAGCTGTTTAGGAAAGGCCGTGTGAAAAATGTTAGTTAATATATTAACAGTCGAACGAGGAACAATATATATATAATTTTTACAGAATGTCATCAGTTTCATTTTTTGCTCTGCCTATGGCATGAAATGCTCTCCTAAATTCTGTAGTTTCCAGCARAGCAGGCTGACTGATCTGACCAACTGTGCCTTGACCACACATAGCCTGAAGCCTTGCAAGATGGATAATCTCCTCGTCATGTTCCTGTGAATCACCTTGTAATGTAAACTCTGTTCCACACCAATAACATGATTGGAGGACGCAAGAAGTAGCACATCGAGGCGTAAACTGGAACAAGGGGAGCAGTATCCCTGGAGATTTTGAGACGAATGTCGTTTATTTGAAAAGGGGTGCTTTTGAAGTTCACTCAAGTAAAGCTTTGTTTAACAGAGCGACTCATCTTAATTCATTCAATATTCCCATTGGGGATTTTTGAAAGGTGACCTTAACAGCCTCTTTTTGCGTAAACATTAATCTCAGAAATAGGAAATGATGCTCTAATGAAAGGAAGTTCATAAATCACATTATTAAAATGCAGACAGAGAACAGCAACAAATCTGAACTTGACGTGAAGAGACACCCACACAGTGTAAAATAGATACAGTGTTGTGACAAAATATTTATAATGCTTGCTTGTATATTTGATGAAGAAAARAATGACAAAATCACTGCAGAGGTATGATAAATATACTACCTGCAAGCTAAAAAAACATACTATGGAATAKAAACAAGACAAAAAACAAAAGCTAAAAAATGCTATTGAGCATGAGAAAAGCTCCATGATTGACAGGTGTGTTTTTCTGTTGAGTTTGGAGAGATAATATAACATCAAAGTCTCGGATTTATTCGTCAGAAATTCTCTGCAGGGATTAATCTCATGCATGGATGTGGAGATTTTCTTCATCAGCAATTTTTACTCTTTGCAGTGAAGGTTTTTGCTCTTAGTCTCCATCAAATAAATGAAGCCAGTATCTCACTGCATTAAAAAAGGGACCATTTTGAAAGCCTAAATATCTCTGYCGGTTTCCGGCACTAAAACCAGTATCTCATTAAGCTTTGATTGATGGCGATCAGTTGGCGACAAGATTTGTGATGAAATCTAGAGGCAAATAACAAAATAACCTGCACGGCATAAAATACAACTTTCCATGTCATGCACATGTAAATAATCCATTTATTTTTAAAACAGGTTGTGCAAATTGCAGACATGCAGCTTGCTTTTTGCTTGGAAGCAAATGCTCCAAATGTTATGAGATGAAACTGAATCTTTGTCAATTGCCTCATAACTTCTTTTTTTTGTTGCAATTTTTGGTTGCCATCTAATCTCCAGCATCTGCAGCATCGAAGCCATGGCAAATCCTAAGAGCAACTGAACTTTTTACTTTTTTTGCTTCGATATATAATTAAG